GGCTCGTCTATGCCGTGGATGCGGTGCGTGTCGTGCATTCCTAGTAGAAGAGCGAGTTCTTCACAAGCTACTAGTTGAGCTTAAGCAAGATTGAGTGACTATTTCTCTCTGTCTGTCGTGCTGCCTACTCTGATGTAAGGTGAATGATGCTCCTTGCGGGCTTAGCCGCGAATGAATACTTCACCTGGAAGGTTGCTCATGTTGACTATCGGAGTATGACCTCAACCATGAATGTAGCTCATCTGTGGGCCTAGTCAAGAGTGCACACTCCTTCATGCGTTAAGACGGGAGTATACGCTATCTTGAGGGCCAAATCGGGAGTGTACACTACCTGAACGCTCGATTCATGGCCGGTCGAGTGGCTGCTTGCTGGGACGTTGCTGGAGAGGTTCTTTGTCTGCCCTTGTCCTACTTCGGGACACCTCGTCTGAGGCACGTTGCATCTCGGTACGCTGTAAGAGCTGGTTCACCAAGGTCATCTATTGTGCGATGGCGTTCATCAACTCTATGACTTGTCGAGACAAGTGTTGTTCTCTATTTGGGTTGGAATAGCTTGGAAGAAATGCGTCTCTTTGAGTAGTGGAAGTGTGGTAGACTCCAGGAGCGAGATTTAAGTTAGGAAATGTCAAATCTGCAAAAAAAATGTGGTGAAAATGCTCCCAGTTTGATCGTTTATCTGGAAATTTGGAGCCGAGACGATTGAACTAATCTTGGATCAATTTAGGCTGCTTGGAAGGCCACAGAAGCAGAATGGGTCGCGGGAGCAGGCTGGGCCACAGGAATAGGCTGCTCGGCGGGAGCAGGCTAGGCCACGAGAGCAGGCTGCTCGGTAAGAGCAGGCTAGGCCACGAAAATGACCTGCTCAGCATGTGGCGCACGAAGGTGCGAGGCTAGGGCTTGGCTTGGTAACGCGTTGGGCTTGTGTTAGGCTTGGAGTGACATGGCTTGGGCCGTGGTTTTGGTGTCGTGAGCCTTAGATGGCGCAGCTCGAGCCGTGGTGGTGGTGCCATGGACCTCGCCCTCGGGTGTTGGCCGTGGTGGCCACCGCGATGGTTGCCATGGTAGAGCCCCATAATGGTGGTGCCGCTTCACCTATGATCACATTTAGCCTCGTGGATCGCCGTTGTCCCATTTCTTGAATATTGGAATTTTCACTTGTGGAATTTTCTAAATTTCTAGCCATTGTATTTCTCTTTTACGTTTTATCAAAGAATCTTTGCAAATAAAAAATTCTAATAATAAGAACGTACGAAAAATATACAAATGGACATGAAAAAATAGAGAAACAACTTTTATGTGAGAGTCTTCTACGAGTTTGTGTACTTCAACTCTCAATGAAAGCACCAATTTGTGGATGCAAATTTCTTCCGCGTTGATCTTGGACAAAATTGCACCTACAAAACAAATAACACATTTGGTCAAGGCCAAGAGCCTCACGCACTCACGATGAATAGGGAGGGGGCTTTGGCCGAAGAACCTCCTATGTCAAAGTTAGAATTTTGAGAGAAAAGTGTTTTGGGAATTTTTGAGTGTTTAGCAAGAGTCAAGACCTAGGTTTTTAGAGGAAACGAGGTTGAATATATGGTGCATGGCCAGTCCTTTTGGGAGAGAAGGTGACCAGCCTTTTGTGTATTTTTTGGGTGTAATTGGTGGTTTACTTGACCACTAATAGATTAATTAGGTAATAAATCCATTAATTAGCCAATTAACATAATTTAAAAGAAATGTTTTGGGGTTACCTTGTGCAGAGGATTTGGTGAGGATGGATGAAATAGGTTTAAAAATAAATACCTATTTGGGCACTTTTGACTTGATTGTGGGATGTTTGTCCACTACTCGCGCGTAGGAATTCCGGTTCTCCTCAAGGGTAATTTTGTCATTTTTGCCCAAAAATCCACATGTTACCTCTTGATTAGTTTTTACTCCACAAGACCCAATGCCCAATATGACTATGTTACATGTGCAATAAATTTGATTATAAATCTCTATTATGCATTAACATTTAACAATCAAAGAATATTAAGTTTAAAAGAAATTGAAAAGATGAAAAAAGTAAAAAAGAAATTGATTAGCTTGGAGCATCCAAATCAAACCCACTTAGGAAATTAACAAAATTAAGGCGATGTGTACGAATTTTGAGTTTTATATAAACAACTTTCAAGTTTTAGGGGCAAAATGAGATCAAAATTGAGTTGCAGGGGGCAAAGTGAAGCAAACTTTGAGTATCAGAAAGTAAAGTGGTGACTTTTGAGTTACAGAGTAAAGTGAGATTAAAATCGAGTTTCAGAATGACGTATCTAAAAATAAGTCTTATCTTTTCTAAAAGTGTAAATGTATCCTGAAAACTGGATTTGCTTTTCCTAAATGTGGGGTACGCTATTCTATGGATACGTGTATCCATCAAGTTATAGTCATGTTCATTAATCATGATACGTATCTGACAAATATCTAAAAGTATTAGGCAATTATGGTATCTAATTAAATATCAGATACGAGATGCGCGATCAAACAAAAGTATTTGTGCATCATAGTTGATGATCTATCTTATAATAATTCAATGGCGTCATGAAGGAATGCAAAGTGTAAATTATTCTTTGCTTATAATTAAGTCCCACCTGTGTGTTGGTGGCAAGCAGACTTAGTACTGATCCTACTCCTCCTCTGGTACTAAATTGAGTTGACAAAATTGAATCGAAATTAAACCGAATAAAAAAAAAAACCAAAAGAGAAACTGAATTGGTTTGAATAATGACTTCGGTTTAATTTTTGGTTTCGGTAAAAAATTGAATCATTCAGAACTGAACACACCTCTACACCCATGTTTAATATTGGCCTTTGATCTATCAATAAAAAAATGTTGATCCTTGATTTTGTTTGATTTATTCAATCAATGATCATAAATAAAGAGTATGACAAGTGGGAGAAGGCAAGTGAAGAAGATAGTTAGCATTCATCTTGCTTTGTAGTTAGTCATGCTTTATTATAATATTTTTTATCTATTGATTAATACGCACTAGGGAAAACATTTTTGCTCATTACCCCAATTGATGATGATACTCATCATTATATTTATCACGTTAGATGAGTTGAAATTTCAAAATCTATGTTTTAGACACAAAACTCAAAATTTAATTAAAATAATTAGAAGATAAAAATATTAAAATAATTTAAAATATCAAAACCATTAAAAAATTATAATAATTCATTTATTAATTTGAGTACTAATGTTTCAAAATGATAATTAATTTACAAAGTAATTTAAAACTATCAAACACATTAAAAGATAATTAATTTATGTGACAACGTGGTCTGTATATATTAATTTAGTATTATATTTTTCATTTGATTATTTATTTAAAATATAATTTCTTTAATGAATAACGGGTAGGGTCAAATTTCCAGTAAATATTAACGAATCGAATTCTGATCGAGTCATATTACCTTTTTATTTTAACAGGTATTACATAACATAACCTGTTAAAATGTCGAATATAACAAGAAAAAGACACAATACAAAAAACGCAACAAAAATACCAGATCTACTAAAAACCTCATGCTTTTTCTCTTTGCGTGGTCGTGGTTATATCTTCATGTACTCTTCTTTAACAAAAAATATTCCTTCTCCACGTGGGTCCACTAATGTTATACTTTCATGAATCTAGATCCTCTTTATGAGGATTTTGGGATCCGTTTATCGTACATTGTATAATTAGTTTTCGTCAGATACTATTTGTGTTCAATTTTAAATAATAAAATTTAAAATAATTTCTAATCACACGATAATCTATCTTACAAAACTTAATACAATGTCGTCATGAAGGAATGGAACAGTGTAGTTAATAGTCTATCTTATAAAGCTTAATACAATGTCATCATGAAGGAATGGAAAAGTGTAGTTAATAGTGTAGTTAATAGTCTATCTTATAAAGCTTAATACAATGTCGTCATGAAGGAATGGAAAAGTGTAGTTAATAGACTATCTTATAAAGCTTAATACAGTGTAGTTAATAGACTATCTTATAAAGCTTAATACAATGTCATCATGAAGGAATGGAAAAGTGCAGTTAATAGACTATCTTATAAAGCTTAATACAATGTCATCATGAAGGAATGGAAAAGTGTAGTTAATAGTCTTTTGCTTACATGTCCCACCTGTTTGTTTGGTAGCAGATCTAGTGCTGATCCTACTCAACTCTCGTACTAACTTCTGTTTTTCTGAGGCCTTGCATGCCCAAAGTTTTCTATTTGGTCCTTCATATTTAAAATCAATAGAATTGATCCTGAGTTTGTCCACCATCAATCATTTTGATCTTTCTTTGAAAAATCTCCATTAAATAAGAATATAATGACCAAAATACCCCTAATTTTTGTCAAATCATTTTGGCACATTGTTTATTAAATTGAGGGTATATTTATCATTTGGATTCTTTTTAACATAATTTTGCACAGAATGACCAAAATGATTGATGATGGACAATCTTAGGGACCACTTCTATTGATTTCAAATCTCGGGGACCAAAGTGATGTGTTATGCAAATCTCAGGAACTATTTTTGGCTAAAAAAACCTTCCAATTTTTATGTCACAAGCTCATAGGCACTTCATTTGGGGACCATATTGAACACTGGGTGGTAGGTGGAGGCAGGGGCAAAGCCACATAAGAGCGAAGGGGGGCGGCCGCCCCTCCGCTTGCCAGAAAAAAAAATCAGGAGTGAGGCTTGAACCCCTCTGGTTCGGCCGAAATCTGGGAACCATGGTCGTGCCAAGTGATTCCTGCACGCAGGGTTTTTTTTTTATTTTTAAAATCCAGGCCAAAACGACATCGTTTTGGGCCTGGTAAGAAAAAAAAAATTGTTTGGTAAACGGCGTCATTTTCCATTGATCAAATAAAAAAAAAAATTAAATGAGGGAGGGACCACTGGTCCCCATCCCCAATCCCACCCTATTTCAATTATTACTCCCCCCTTCCCATATTACAAATCTCATCCCCCCCCCCCCACCCTTACCCTCTTCCCAGACTTCAATTTTCAAAATTGTCCCAAATCCCAGGATTGAACACAGGAAAGCACAGTAGCCATCCCATTCTGTTGGCCACCAAGCTCCAGACGCCACGCCAGCCGCTTTAATTGAGGTAAATTTTTCATTTTTTATTTTTAATTTATGGTTATCGATTATTGATTATTCATATAAATACTATGATTATTGATTTTTTTTTTGAAGTACGTAAAAGAGGATTCATACATTATATATATTATAGGAACTTGAATCACATATTGTCTACCAATAAAAATTGATTGCAGTAACCATTATAAACCATAATCAACTTACTCAATTTTTAATTGTTGTTTAAAATAAAAATTGAATTCTTGATTATTCATGTAATTGTTCGTATTGATTAATTAAATTCGTGGTTTGATTAGATATTACCTATAGTCTACTCTAGGATTAAGAGTCTAAGATTTTTTTTTGTTCCTTTCATTGTACAGTTACGTAATGGAACTATACTATAAGAAACAGTGCTTAAATCTGTCTCCAAATATTCCGGATAGTCCTCCTCTTCCTTCAAATATTCTGGGTAGTCCTCCTTCACCTTCAAATATTCCAAGTAGTCCTCCGAGTATTTCGGGTAGTTCACAACAAAGTGAGGTTACTGAGTTGGATGAAATATTAGCTAATCTTCCTGCAGACCCTAGACAGAGACGTCGAATGCTTGAAAATGAACCTTGTCAACCTAACGTATAAGCTCGCCCCCCCTCTTAAGAATTTCTGGCTTCGTCACTGGGTGGAGGCGGCTAGTGGTGTTTTATGATTTTTTTATAATTTATATTTTTATTTTTTGTAGAAATAGCAAGTGGAATTTTTTAGGCTCCTTAAGCATTAGCAAGCTGTGAAGTCTAGATTTTTAGGTTCGGTTTTTCTTGTCAACATTGTAAGTGTACCACATACTCAATCTAGCTTTAGACTTTTTTCTATTTATGGATTGTGTCTACTGGGAAGAAATGTTCAAGGATGTGGCACATCTCACTTTAAAATGTTTGTTCATGCAGATGCATTTCATGCCTACATTCATGTTACATTTTGTCTAGCTTATTGGTCTAGTCAACCACGCGCGCGAATTTCTAGCAAGCTTGACATGCAATTTAAGACCTACCCACATAGGCTAACTGATAGATTTTTGGTGTTTGTCTGTTTTTCACCCTTGATCTTTTCAGCTTGTTTTGAAGCTTGACGCGTGCCCTATGTGTTGAAAAATGAACCAAAGGAAAGGGATCATCTCTGGATCCCTTCCTCCTAATTCACCAAATCCAGGGATCCGAGTCATTGAAATTTGATCAAACGGCTACAAACAGGGGTCCACTTTAAAAGTTATAATAACTTTAGTTGTTGAATCAAATTTCAATGGTCCGGATCCCCGTACTTAGTGGATTAGGAGGAAGTTATCTTGAGAGGATCCCTTTCCATTCTTAAATATACCAATTTGTTAAAAATGCACCCATTTTTTAAATAAAATTGAATACAAAAAATACATGACGAAAACTAACCGCACAATATACGATAAACGAACGCAATGAAGTGATATCTGGAATCCTCACAAAGAGAATCCTCATCCCTGTTCAGCCCCAAAAAAAACCCAGCCAAACAAACACGCAAAAGGCATAGACAATGAGGTATAAGCAGCAACAACAAAAAGCTAAAATCCAGCAACGTAAAATACCTGTTCTACCGATTTCCGTCTCCAGTAAAAATCCTATAGGCTAGAGGACCAAATGTTTCTTCTGTTTTGTTTTAGGACCAAGTGTGGACTCCGTAAACTCACAATAACAAATGTTCCGTAGTTCATATTAATAGAATGAAATTCTATCTTTATTTGAATTCAAACAAAATTGAATCGTTGAATCGTATCGGTTGATGCGTTTAGAATGGTGTAGTGTGTAATTATTTTAAAAACTGTGGTTGTAAAATAGCTTACGTGGCTGTGAGAGACTAAACACTAGTGGCGTATTTACGTAACCGTAATCAAAATAGAGGAACTGGATTGAGAAGGAATTGAATTGTGGAGGAATTGGATTGATAAGGAGTCATAATTGAATTCATGTTGAAACTGTTTACTTAAATGTTCTGGAATCGGAGTAAAAATGAAATGAAATTCATATCAGTTGTTTACTAATTCACCTGAATTGGAATAGAAATCAAAATAATTACTAAAATGCCCTTTAGTTCTTTATTTTTATTTTTATTTCATCTATATTTATTTTTAATCACATTTTCATTAGTTACTTTAAAATGGACTCAGATCCAACGGCCAAATTATTTTCACCTCTCTCTCTCTCTCTCTCTCTCTCTCTCTCTCTCTCTCTCCCTCAACTCTTCTCTTTCTCCCTCACTTGGAAGCACCCACCACCACCACCCCTACATCTTCTCAATCTTCTTCAACCTCAGCCCATCCCAGTTAAATTCCTTGTTTATTTTGTATTTCTTATATTCGAATCTTTAATTTTTGCTGTATGTTCAGTGATATTTTTGTAGGTCCTTTGAATTGGGACCTTATTCAACACGAAGAGGAAGAATTTGCAACATGGGAGGTTGGGGTGGGAGAGAGCCGGAAAGGGTTGTTGGGTTGTGTAAGATGTGGAGCTATAGTGGGAGGGTGGATGTCCAGAAAAATATTTTGAAGTATTTATACATCTATTGGAGATTAAATTTAGAATTGGCTAAAATGGCTATTTCTTTAAGGGCTTGTAGAAGGATCCAACACTCGGTGGAAGACCATAGTCATGATCAGAATAAAAATGGAAGTTTTCTGGGGAAGTTTGGGATGCTAGTTCAAATTCATCTTCCTAGTTCCAACACTCAGCGATGCTGCGTCTGTCGAAGCATTTGCGAAGCCTCTTGACAAGAGGGCATAATAGGAAAGAAGAAATGCATTCCCGATCCCGGAATCCAAATACCTCACCCATGGAGGGAGTCCAATTCCTCCAATTTCAGGAATTGAATTTCATTTTTCGTGTGGGTCCCACACATTGTTGATTCCTCTAAATTGTAGTAAACACAAGAGTTATCCGTAATCAGAATCGGAGTCCTTATTTTCATTCTGATTACGGGTGCGTAAACATACCCTAGGAGTATTTTTGCTCATCACTATTTAGTGTGGTGTATGCTTACTACCGTATTTATCATTGTTAAATTAGTTTGAATTTCAAGATTCGTGTAGTAGATAAACACAAATCTCAAAATTCAAACTCATCTAATAGTGATAAATAAGGTGGTGAGCAAAAATACACCCCCAAATACTAGGAAGGAGGTATATAGTGGACTGAATCCATATGAGGCCTTTAAAATTGGACCTATATTAAAACACTGCTTTAATAAGGATATGGATCTCATCTGGATTCAAATTGTGAAGATCATAGGAATCCTCACATCTTAGTTATTCATTGTACATCGTACAGTAAAAAATTACTTGAATTTTATTATTTAAAATTAAACATAAATAGTACTTAGTGAAAGCTAATTGCACAATATACGATAAATAATTAAGATGTGAGAATTTCTAAGATTTCCATAAAATAGATCACGAGAGGATCCTCATTCCTTTAATAAAATATGCATTTCTTTCTGCACTTCCAAGCATGAAATATGGCTTCTTCCCAAGAAAATACAATTTCCAGTAATTGGAAGAGTCTGTGGAAGATACCCATTCAAAAAGTAATGAAGCATTAAATTGAAGAGGTTGATTGGAGAGGACACGACAGGATAAGGTCTGCCTTCAATTTACAGTAGATTACGAAATGGTCTTTATCGTCTCGAGCCGTAGACTAGATTGTACGCAACCAGCACGAAAAAGAGCATGCAGTAGGAAAATTTTACGGACTGATTCTAAGAGTATTTTCAATGGAAATGTTAAAATAGAAATGTCAAACGTTATTTTGATATTTGAAATGGAAATGTCAAAATTTTTCTTTTTTCAACCGAATGTTATTTTGTTACAAATAATAATGAAAATAATTTGAAAACTACAAGTTTTAACCATAATGATAATATAAAGGGTAAAGTAAATAGTATCATGATTGAATTTTTAGTGTAAAAATATGATTTTTCGTTAAACTGAACAGTACTGAAAGTTTTTCTTTAAAGTTCCCTAAATAATATTATAGAACTCATAGTATTTATATGAATAATCAATAATCATAGTATTTATATGAATAATTTACAGTAGATTACGAAATGATCCTTATCATCTCGAGCAGTAGACTAGATTGTACTCAACCAGCACGAAAAGAGCATGCAGTAAGAAAATTTTACGGACTGATACTAAGAGTATTTTCAATGGAAATGTTAAAATAGAAATGTCAAACGTTACTTTGATAGTTGAAGTGGAAATGTTAAAAATTTTTTTTTTTCAACCAAATGTTATTTTGTTATAAATAATAAGGAAAACTAATGAGAAGAACTTGAAAACTTTGAATTTTAACGATAAGAACAAAATAAAGGGTTACGTAAATAGTATCATAATTGACTTTTTTAGTTTAAAAATGTGATTTTTCGTTAAAGTGAACAGCACTGAGAGTTTTTCTTTAAAGAAAGCTCCCTAAATAATATAGAACTCATTATAAAAAGAAATCAATTAAAATAAATTTTCAAAATATATAATTAGTGCATTAATGGGATTGACATAATAAAATAATTGAAATTTTATTCGAACTCTTATAGCCTCTTTCTACACCCATATTATTTTTAACTAAAATACTAAACCCAAATTTACCACCTAATCTATCATCACAAACTCAATTCAACATGTAAAATTTTCTTTACATCTATTTAGAAAATAAAATTCCAATTGAACATAAGCATTAAGTCGTATGGCCTGCTTTCGTTAGTGTAATACAACATTAAATCGTAATTGATGTAGTACAACATTATTCTGTGTAGAAATTAATAGAATTTCTTAAGATGATGTGCCCCATTGCTGGAGCTGCAACGTACATCACATGGTTGCTAGCTAATTTGTTTGTATTTTGGTGTCTCTTTGTGCACTTCCATGCATGAAATATGGCTCCTTCCCAAGAAAATACAATTTCCAGTAATGGAAGAGTATGCGAAAGATACCCCAGTCACAAAGTAATGAAGCACTAAATTGAAGGTTGATTGGAAAGGACACGACAGGATAAGGTCTGCCTTCAATTTACAGTAGATTACGAAATGGTCCTTGTCGTCTCGAGCCTTAAGACTAGATTGTACGCAACCGGCACGAAAAAGAGCATGCAGTAAGAAAATTTTACGGACTGATACTAGGAGTATTTTCAATGAAAATGTTAAAATAGAAATGTCAAACGTTATTTTGATAGTTAAAGTGGAAATGTTAAAATTTCTGTTTTTTCAATCGAATGTTATTTTATTATAAATAATAAGGAGAACTAATGAAAATGATTTGAAAATTTTGATTTTAACAATAAGGACAAAATAAAAGGTAACGTAAATAGTATCATGATTGACTTTTTAAGTTTAAAAATGTGATTTTTCGTTAAAGTGAACAGTACCGCGAGCTTTTTGTTAAAGTTCCCTAAATAATATTGTAGAATTCATTTTAAAAATAAATCAATTAAAATAAATTTTCAAAATATATAATTAGTGCATTAATGGGACTGACATAATAAAATATGAGAAATTTTATTTGAACCCTTATAACCTCTTTCTACACCCAATTTACTTTCTACACTATTGACCCTAAAAACTACCAAGCCTACATGGCGCGCAGGCCGACTAACTAATGAGCTAACTACGTCCTTAGGTTGATATGGGGCGTGCCAACTCATCGGCCGAGATCGACCAAGGAGTAAAATATGTTGATGTTACGTTGAGTGCGCTGTTGACTTCTTGATCTTGCGACTACAGCTGAGGAAGAAACACATCTCGGCCTTCGGGTTCTAGAGCCTGAAGACAAAGTTGCTAGTTCTGCGAAGTTCCATATCAAATTCGGCTTCCAATGTGCTGAATGGAGTAACCTGTAACACCTCACTTCACCGAGAAAGCAATGAGATGACCTCTGCCAATAAGGATTCAAAAATCCTTCTCGACCGAGACTTGGATAGATAACCAGTCAGCCTCGACGCAAGTGCTGTTTATCCAAACTGAAGGTGCTCCGTGGTCAGCTGATTCTACGGCAACAGTGTTGTTTATCCAAAGTGAAGATGTCACCAGTTGCCTTCATAGTGTTGTTTATCCAAACCGAAGATGTGTTGGTGGAAAAAGAAAAAAAAATCTCAAGGTTGTTAAGAGGTTTCGCGTAGAGTGAGAGATTGCACATGGCAGTTTGTGTGTTGAATTGGAGGGGTTAAATGTTGCCTTCGACTTTATATTTATAGCTCCCATATTTTTTGCTTGGTACAACTTGATAGTGTAAAAACCGACTGAAACTCAAACTCGTAGAATGACTGATCCACGGCATAGGCGCTAAAGCCTATCTTCAGATAATTGACTAAAAGCCTAGCCTACCTAGGCTTGCTTATCTTATCATAATTCCATCACCCATCCATGCATCCTGATCCCCATTTAATGAATTTCAAATTCATTTTAAATTCATTTCTGGCTACTTGTCAATCTGTCACCACCATCTCATGCCAGACATCCCAAATTAATTTGAACTGTACGCTTGCTTGGGGATATAATCTGCATCCTATCCCGTTTAAGAATATGCCAAGATAATTCATATTAAAAGATAATTATTATGATAAAAACCATTATATTATCCTTTAACAATAACAAAATTATCTTCACTTACGGTTGGGAGCTATGCTCACTCAACGGCCTTGATTGCATGGGCCAATGGTGTAAATTTGGGTCCAAACATTGACCCCTAGTTTCCTTGATTTTCAACTCGTAAGTCGAATAGTTAAGGAAATTAATTGTTCATAGCCAACAAAATCCCATCGTATCGCTGAAAAAAAAAACTTTGTTCCTTGGCAATAACATGTCTATTTTGCTAACGTTGTGGTCTTCCTCGAATGCCACAATTCTATACAAGGCTCGGCGACTTTGCCAAAAAAACCTTCTAATTACTTCGACCATCCAACTCATACGGTCGAATTGCAAATGGGGCCAAGAAGAACCCTCAGCCTGTCATCAATCAAAGTCAGCAACTTAGCAATCATGGTAGCACACATTACACAAACACTTTTTCATGTAAGCATATATATTTACTACAGGCCGAATGACCTTATGGTAACTTATGCCGAACACCAGCTCATGCTTGCTGAGCTCGACAAACAGTTGGCTACACACACACACACACACACACACACACACCTTAGTTGGGGCTTTAAAACTTCAAAATCACCGTCCATTGATAACATAAAATAAAATAAAAAAGCTTGTTTTCTCTATAAAAGCTCTTAGGATTTTAGGCAGAATGAATGTATGATAAACATTGATTGTAACTAGGATTTAATTATTGCGTGTGGGTTTATTGATAAATTTTAGTTTTATTGTTGATCTTATTGTGTACTTGATGGTAATTATGCAATATGATAAGAAAGACAATTCACATTTAAAGTTTAAGTTAGGTGTAGAAAGAGGTTATATGAGTTCAAATAAAATTTCTCATAAAATAATTCAAAATTATTTGACATCATCTTTTCTCATATGTCAAATTTGACATGTAAAAACTCATATGTCAATCCACATAGGATTGAGATATTGGTTGGAACTTGCTCCTACCTTCAAATTTGATTATATGTCATCACGATTAGGATTTAACATCTTTTTTGGAGATGGTCTAAAAGCTTTGCTCAATTACCTAGAGGCCTCATGGGTAGTGGCAAAGCTAGGAATTCTCGGGAGGGGGGGCGAACTTATATATTAGGTTGACAAGGTTCATTTTCAAGCATTCGACGTCTCTGTCCAAGGTCTGCATGAAGATTAGCTAATATTTCATCTAACTCAGTAACCTCACTTTGTTGTGAACTACCCGGAATACTCAAAGGAGGACTACTCGGAATATTTGAAGGTGAAGGAGGACTACCTGGAATATTTGAAGGACGAGGAGAACTATCCAGAATATTTGGAGACGGATTTAAGCACTGTTTCTTATAGT